CAAAACCTTTTACTTATAGACTTTGAAGTAGATCGATGTGTACTTTCTTCGAGGGAGACCTAAATCGTCAACTTGCTCATTTCTTTTTATTATTTCAAGTTTCAACCATGAGATTAACGAAGACCTTTTCGACTCAGGATTTAATTGCGTTTTTCTTCCAATCATATCCGAATCATTTATTTAAAATATTTTCCTTACAATAGTAACAAAATAAACTAAATCCTTGACTCCGTTGATGATAATAATACGATATTCAGTCTACTAGAATAGTAAATGTTTCATTAAAAAATGTAAACTGAAATATTCTCTCGAATAATAAAGTACTCATCGATGTATTTTTGTATATAATGTGAAGGGAGATATTGTTGAAGGTTCGTAGGAGAAGGAGAAGAGAAGACTTATATCTCTAGCCTTCACATGGGCACTTGTCAACTCTTTTTTTTTGGTCGACGTCAACTCTTTAATCCTATCTTATTTGATTATTTATTAGTCTTTTGATCCATAAGTTGGTTTTATTAGACGTAATTTCATCAATGCAATGTTCACAAGACAATTGCATAGTAAGATTCAAACATGTTACACACCTTAATTAGTAGCTTTTTGATGGTTGATTACACTGACACAATATGACAATTTGACTCCGCAACAACAGTTTACAAAATTCAAAAGATGTCTTGTACATTTCTATATTAACAGACATAAAAAAGGTTTCCGATATCTGAGTTACCACTAAATATATTTAGAAAAAAAAATCTGATAAAAGTCAACTCACTTATCTATATCACTTAAAAAAAACAATTAACTTAGTTATGAATCTGTAACTAATGGCCGCCCCGGTTCTCTCATTTTAAGTTTATGGCTAAGTAAACTATCGTGGTTTCCATGTGGTGCTTTGTTTACTAAAAATAAGTATGAATTGGTTTTGTCTTTGTTTATAAATAATTGGTTAAAGTACAACATATTAGTAATGAACTAACGAGTATATATCAGATTAGCACGTCCCATAATGAACACAAAGTTAATTTATGGAGCTAATGAAAAAAAAAATTGTTTATATTTTAGATTTAGCCATCAAAATGTCCAAAAAAACTCAGCATGAGTTTAATAACATTTTCATGGAAAAGTTAATAATTTCATGTGGAAATATATATGCGTTGCCACGTAATCGTAGATTAGACTATACCAGAAACATAAATAAAACAATTTGGTCTTATTTAGACTAGAAAAAGTCTTCGGTCACCAATATTAAATCTATAAAAATATTTGTTCATCAAAATTAAATTGAGAAACAAGGGAATAAATAATCAATGGCTGAACAAAGAAAAAAATAACAAGAAACATTAATGGTTCAACAATAAGTAGTTGAATTTTTCAGACAATGAGTGAATGGAAATCTCAACTAGCATGTCTTCACGACTCATCACCGATCAAAGACAGATCAGAGACCTTAACACAAACTTTATAAAACACTTGATTACTATTTAACATAAAATAGAAAAAAATCATTATAAATGTCGTACTCTGTTCCCAAACTTCAGCAAAGGTAACATAGATTTCGCATACTAAGCAATCGGAATTGGTATAATTAAGACCAAATAGACCGTTGACAAAATAGCAGATATATTGTATTTTTTTTTTTCAACAATCACCATATTTTAAATCAAGTGCTACCGGTTGAAAGGTTTTTCTAACGGGTAACTCCAAACGGAAATGTCTGACTTACATGGGAGAATACATAATCACGTGCACGAGCTCTTTTTGCAAGGGAGTCGGTTCTAACATTACCACTCTGTGGGATATGAACTAAACTAACAGATACAAAAAAAATTTTCAGTATAATAAACCAGTCAATCTCCGCATTGAAAGATGACCAATCAAGTGGATGCGTAGTCATAGAAATCAGACTTGCACAGTCTGTCTCGATCCTCACTGTGAAGAGTCTCCTCTCGCTTAGA